TGCTCCGGCCAACCAGATTTTGCCACGTGTCTTTCTTGGATTGCAAACTAGCCCAGGCGTCCAACTTCAAGCGTCCAACTTGGCCAAGCGTCCAAGTTGGACGCCTGGAGGCCTTGGTCCGTTGGGCTTCGCGGCTGTTTCGTGATTTTGGCCCAATTTCGCTCCGTTTTGGCCCCGAACACTGTTTTTGACCTCCCGGAAGCTCGTTCAAGTCCGAATCTTGATCCCTTGATGATTTATTCCCTTTTTCTCAAATACTTGAACAAAAATGAATGATTTATGATGATTTCATGTGGAATCCCATTTTATGACTCTTAGAACGAAAATGAGAGTTTTATCCATTAAAATCACATTTTATGAGATGATTAAATATTATTTACGTGCAATAACGTTTAGAATATGATGTAAATGATAAGAACGAAACGGACTTATCAATATTCATTATGATTTAATCATTCACAATTATCATTTTTAATCAGAATATTTATTAAGATTTATTCATCATAATCATCAATCAATAATCATTACCATAATCATTAATCAACATAATATTCAATAACAATTAGCGGTCTAGCTTCGGGTGTTAACATCTTAACTTACCGTCATGCATCACATAACATTATATTTGTTAAAAAATATTACTTTTAATGTGAAAAATCATTTTTATAATGATCATAATCAATTGGTATCAAAAATAGGATTTTAGGGCTAAAAAATAACATTTTCAGGCAAATTTTCGGATCAGAAATTCGGGGGATCGATCCATCCCTCTGGATCGATCCATATGTAGAGGAATTATGCCCAGGTGATCGATCCACCCATTTGGATCGATCTAGACAGCCTGGTTTTTGGTTACTGTTCATCTTCTTTTTTCGTTCGGGTCCAATTTCAAAAATACCGTTTTTAGTTATTGAACTTCAACGAAACTATATAGAGATGTTCTCCAAGGTTCATAGATCATTTTGGCATCATTAATTCATAGTTTTAACATCAATTTAATGTTTTATGATTCTTGGTTCTTCAAGCATGTCAAACACAAAACTCAACCAAACGACCGTTTATGAACGTAGAAACGATCTATACGAACACTCTAGTCACTAGATATATCTACGGGCTTACCTCGAAGCGTAATGGAGGTTTCGAAGTTTTTCCGGCGAAACTTCCGGCGAGGATTGTGCCTATCTTTGGCGACGAGAAGCTCTCTTGACAGCACTACTCCACTCTCTACACTCTTAGCTATCTCTTGGAAGAAGAATGGTGAAAAATGGTGAAGTTTAGAGAGGTTTATATAGTGGAGTGGAGAGGAAGAAGACACAGGGCTGCCCTGCCCTCTTTCTTGTTTTACAACCCCAACCCTGCCCTCCACTCCCCTCCCCTCCCCTGATCTGTGCCAGGGCTGGCACCCACCACCGCCATCAACCCCGGCTCCATCGTCACCGTCAGCTCCGCAAAAATTGACCCAGCCCCAACCGCCGTCGCCGTTGCCTCTACCACAATTGACCCAGCCCCCACCACAATCGCCCCTCCCCTAGCCGCCATCCCGCCACCATCTCTCCTCCAGGAGAAATAGAAAAGGGGAAGAGAAAAAAGAAGGGAAGAAGATGAGAAGAAGATCTAGTACAGATCTATCGTAGATCTGGAAGAGAGGGAATAGAAGAATTTCTGGAAGAGAAGAAGAAGAAAAAAGAAGAAGAAGAAGAAAAATAAAAAGAGAGAGGCAGAGATCTGGAGAAGAATGGGGGGAGGGAGGGGAAGGAGACGAAAAAAGAAGAAGAAAAAAGAGGAGGAAGAAGTGAGGAACGGATGGCGGAAAAAGGGAAGGAGAGAAAAATAAGACTTAAGAGGAGTGTGTGGTGAGGATTTATGGGAGGAGAGAGAAAGGGGAGAGGGGAGAGAAAATGTGAAAATGTTAAGTGGGGGTATTTTTGGTAGTTAGTGTATGAAAAAGGAGAAACGAGAAGATTTTTTCCGGATGGAGGGAGTACTTATTTTTGGAGTCAGTTGGTAAGCAAAAATATTTTATTCAAATATTTTTCGTATACATCGTTTGACACACAAAATATTTTTGGGACTCTATTTCTTAAGCAAATATTCATTCTCATAATTCAAATTTGAATTTGAATTATTTTATTTGATTTGGGAGCCTCCTTCCTCTGTCCTCAATGTCTCAAACAAATCCTATAAGCCAAATTGCCCTTCACCTCGCACACATGCTTGTGCTCTTCATGTCTGAGCATTATTGTTGCAATAATCAATTAATACCTTTGGAATTAATCGATTATCTCGTCCAGAATGAACTAATCGATTAACACCTTTGGTATTAATCGATTATAGATTTCCGTGCAAGGATAATCGATTTTCTTCAGCTGCTTTAATCGATTTTTTGTGATGCATTAATCGATTATGGACACTGCATTAATCGATTTTTATGCTACATCTTTTCAGCACAGCTTCTTTTCTTGGACCAACGGATATATTTCTTCAGCTCCTATTTAAACACACTTCCTTGGTCATTTTTCATAACAAGAAACACTCCAATACTCCCCATTCTTGAGTTGTTAATCCTCCATCAATATTTCCTCAAATTTATATCATTTTGAGAGAAAACTATTTGTTTTTTAAGAGAGGTTTCTTATCATCCATTAGAGCTAAAAATTTTCTCATTCCTACTCTTTTGAGAGGTATTGTTGAGAGGTTGAAGAAGATTGTTCTTCTTGTTATTCAAGACTTATGTGACTTAAGTCTTAGTTGTGAAGTCTTGTAGAGGGCATATCTACGAGCGGTTGTGTCAAGGCTTGTGGGATTCAAGTTCTCGAGTTGTAAATGGTTTGTTAAGCACCCGTAAGCTTAACGGAAGTAGTGGTAGCTTTGAGAGAGTCTCTCGGGGAACTGGACTAGCCACGAGGTGGTGAACCGGTATACATCAGTGTGTTCTTTGCTTTTTCTCTTTTATTTCCGCTGCACTTACGTTTATATTATTAATCCTGCGAAAATCGGTAATCATTCTCAACAACTCTATTCACCCCCCTCTAGAGTTGCACGTCTTGTCTAACAATTGGTATCGGAGCGGGTATCTCTAACGCTTCTTGTGACGTTTGAGAAAACGATCAAATTTTTTTTGAGAATGTTGAACACAGGGATTGGAAAGGGCAATCCACCGTAAGGCCGCCATTTTTTATGGAACAAATTACTCATATTGGAAGGAGCGAATGAGGATTTTGTTGGCCATGTGTGCAGCAATTGTCCCGTGGTGGAGGCTATGTGGGCCAAGTCACAATCGAATGTCGTGGGCGCTTGTGTGTTGAATGCACTATAAGGCTAGGGTATGCGCCTCTTCTAACACCAATTGGTTTTAGAAGAGTTGGTAGAGCCTGAGGTCCTACAGATTTTTATTCAATCAAACGACTTCAAAGTTTGGCTTGCTCTCAAGAATGGAGATAGCTTGCCGATGAAGAAAATAGGCGATACACTCATCCCGAAGGACGAGGATGAATATGATGAAGCCGACTTAAGAAGGCTCAATTGAATGCCACCGCCATAAACTTCTTGTATTGTGCTGTCAACGCCAATGATTATCAAAAGATATCTCGTTGCCAAACCGCCAACCAAATGTGGAACAAGCTCATGATCACATACAAAAGGTACGCCTCAAGTTCTTGAATCAAAAATTGATTTACTAACCCACGAATATGAGTTATTTGCTATGAAAGAGAATGAGCTTATGGAGGACATGTTTGAAAGATTTTCAAACATTATCAACGACCTCGATATGCTTGGAAAGACTTTCACTGACAAGGAGTCAGTGTTAGCCTTGGTTTGCTAAGCCTCATGTTTTGATGTTAACAAACAATATAAGAGCTTAACGTTTGTTTAAGTGTTTCAGGTAAAACAAGAATCCATTAAGATTCGGTACTCACGAATGAAGTCGAAACACTAAACTAGCGTAGAATATAGGTAGAAACCGATGTAAGGATATGATTTTATATACATATATTCACAAGCTCAAAAGCACTCACAAAATATGTTTAAAACCATCCCATAAACATTTTCAAACATCTAAAAGGTTTTAAACTCAAACATGAAGGATTAAGGGAATTTTGGAAAAACTAGAATAGAGCCACGGTACCCCAAACGGTAGGGTATACCGCCTACACGGTACCCCATACCGTGTAACGGTACCTGGGTACCGATGGTAGGCAGAGACGGTTGGACCAACCCGTCCTAACCAGGTACCGCCAGAGCCGAATGGATTTTTAGTGGGACACGGTACCGAGGTGCCGCCACTCACGGTACCCCCCTACCGTAAGCACGGTACCATGATACCGTGTGGACGGCACCGGCCTACCATATCCGTTATCAGCACTGTAGCAAATTGCCAATTTAAATTTAAATCAACCCTAATCACCTCCCAACGGCTAATTAACATCTTCCACTATAAATACAAGCCTAATGCTTCATATTTCTTCAAGAAACAAAGCTCTAAACATCCTCTCTTTTTATTCTAAGTGTGTTCATCCTTTTATTAATTATTTTCAATATTTTGGCTATTTTAAGAGCCTTAAATTCCTGATTTTTATACACACACTTTGAGCTTGTGTTTCTAGTTATATACTCTCATATTCATAAGTTTGAATTGTATTTTTGAGAGTGTATACTTTCCTTCTACACCGGCTAAGTTTTGTTCTTCATTTTTATATTCAAACACATCTTTATACAGTTGTGTAGAACTCTTGTTTGTGTTCTTCAAACACATCTTTATACAGTTGAGAATAGCCGTTAAATTCTCATATTGTATCGGTCGAGGATAGCCGTATAAATTTTTGGGTAAAGGTTCAAGGATAGCCTTTGAAATCCTTGGGGGAACGGTAGAAGATAGCCGTTAAATCTTCATTGTAAACGGTTCGAGATAGCCGCGGTGAAATCTCGGAGTGAATCCTATTGGCAAGGGTTGTTTGCCAAACTAGTACGGTGCTTTGACGGAGTTCAAGAGACCGAGACTTAGTGGATTCGGAAATCCTTGAGGAGGAGCCTCGAGGTACTGGAGTAGGGAGTTCCCGAACCAGTATAAATTCGGTGTGCATTTTACTTTACGCTTTTATTTCTGCGTTTTATATATTGCTTCCGCATTTGCCAACACTGTTTTTATCAAACTCCGAAAAGATTTTAAACGCCTTATTCACCCCCCTCTAAGGCGTGGGCACAACTCATAAACCAATTAACAATTGGTATCAGAGCGGTTTCGTAGTTGAATGTGCTTAACCGCATCTACGACAAAGATCCACTTGTTGTGTCCGTTTTTAAATTTGAATTTTTAAAATCTCAAAATGTTTATTTTCCCAATTTTTAAATTCAAATTTATTGAAATATGGCCCAAATGGATTCCCAAAGCATCCACCGCCCTCCGTTTTTTAATGGTCAAAACTATTCTTATTGGAAAATGCGGATGGAATATTTCATTCAATCAATTGATTTTGATTTATGGTTGAATGTACTTCACGAGCCATTTGTGCCGAGTATTGGTAATCTTGCAGGATTATCTCCGGAGGATGAACGAAAGTTATCAATGAATGTAAAGGCAATCAACATCCTCCATTGCTCCCTCGGTCCCGATGAATTTGCAAGAGTGAGTACGTGCAAAACTGCCAAAGAAGTATGGGATCTATTAGAAGCCACTCACGAAAAGGATGTCTCGACAAAGCAAACAATGATTGCCCTTGGGAACGCCATGTTGAAGCACGGGTTTATCGTGTTTTCGTACTAAAGCCGTGTTCGTTTTTATGACAGGTTTTGATAATGCCAAACCGCCGTGAACGAGACAAGTTATTGAATATACAAGGCGAGAAATAAATATAAGAAGAAAGCAAGAGAACAAGACCCAAAAGAAGACCAAGAACGAAGACCGTAGTCTTAGTGTTGTTGAGTCGGTCATAATTGTGATCAAGACCGACCCAACCTTTACACCTTGGCTAAAATTCCTCTAATTGCATTTCTTACATCATAAAAATGTTTTTAAACTTGTTTAAGTCATTAAAAACACTTGGTGTTCGCCCAAACCAAAAACCAAGCCATCCAGTGTTTGGCTTTCAGAAACCAGCGTTCGGCTTTCGGTTGTCGGGTTTGGTTTTTGGCATCCGAACCAACCAAGTGGTTTTCAGAATTTTATGATCTGCTTTCACTCTTTGGCATGTTTAGACGGTTCTCCAACAAAAACACTTTGAAAACCATCCCTCGTTTTTTAGTCGTTTGACAAAAACCACGCAAAACGGCGTAAACTTGGCTAGCCGTGGTTTTTAATCAAATGAAGTGATTTTTAAAGTGTCTCACTTGA